TATTTTTTCATTTTTCCTGGGCTATGTTCAGTTAAGAATATAAAATAATCTTAAAATACTTTTTTCTAACATCCCTAAGATTTCCTTAAAGCAAATATGGCAATGGCCATCTCTGGGTTAAAATAGCCACCCCTTTCAAAGAAGAAATAACTCATTCATCAGCAAAAACATTTCCTTCTCTTGGCGAAGACCTCACTAGTTATTTTATCATGTATTTGTACATCTACCTTCAAAAGTCACAGAATAACAACAGTAGATAGCAATCCAAAGATATCTGAGAAATGTGGGAAAATGGTTAAGTAGAGAGTAGAAAGGGAAAAATAAAATAGCGTCAGTGAAAGTGAAAGTCGGTTAGTCGTATCCAACTCCTTGTGACCCCATGGACTATGCAGTCCATGGAATTCTCCAAGCTAGAATACTGGAGTGGGTAGCCTTTCCCTTCTCCAGGGGATCTTCCCAACCCAGGGATTGAACCCAGATCTCCTGCATTGCAGGTGGATTCTGTGATACTAATAATATAGTGCAAATATAACATTCTACTAATTGTTAGATGCACTGTAAGGGCTTCAAGAATTTAAGAGAACATTAAGAACCCATACATATTAGGGTATTTATATTCTGTATTTTTACATACAAGGAGCATAAAATTATAGTTAAACTTATAGCCGAATTAGGTATTCATGGTACTGGGAAAAAACAGGTTATTACAATCAAAAGGTAACCCTAGTAATCTGGTTTTCTTTCTTTTTTTTGTAATCTGGTTTTCATCAGCAGCTTTTTTCTTGTAACTTTCACTAGAGGTTCTGTTCTGTCTCTTAAAAAGAAAGAAAATTCAGACACGTGCTACAGCATGGATGAACCTTTGGCAAATTATGCTGAGTGAAATAAACTAGTCATAAAAAGACAAATACTGTTATGATTTTAAACACTTATACGAGGCACCTAGAGTAATCAAATTCACAGAGGCGGAAACTATAATGGTGGTTGACAGGGGCTGGGAAGGGTGGAGAGTTGTTACCTTATGCTCATCAAGTTTCAGTTCTGAAAGATGAAAAGTTATAGAAATTGGTCGTACAAAATATGAATGAATGTACCTAACACTAACGAATTTTAGACATAGAAATGGTTATAAGAGTAAGTTTTATGTTATGTATATTTTACAACAGTTGAAAAAACAAACAAAACTTGAGTTCTGTTCCCAAGGGTTTTGGAAAAGAAACCGTGGTCCTTTAATGATGAACCACCAAGTCAAAAGCCAAGTAGGAAAAGAAGTGAGAATGTGAGGGGGATGATAGCAGTAAAAGGCACAAGTAGATTTGAAGTCCTGGTGGGACTGAAGGATTGAAAGAGTGACCTCGAATGTACCAGCTTGTCATTACAGACTTAGAATCTTGAACACTTGATTTGAAAAAGACATAGCTGAGCTTGTGACCATGGGAGCAGAGAGAAGTGTGCAAATCTTGGAGCTGGACGATCTAAATAACAGAATTAAGAGGCTAGCTTCATGGGTGCTAAAGTTGCCAAGGATAATTGACAGGAGCAGAGCTGGAGAGAAGCCTATGAATCACTTCTCTGTCCCTATTTCCTATTACTCTCTCAGTGAGAAGGCAGCAACACTCAGCATCCCAGCTAGGACCAATATTATATCTCCAGTGGGAGAAAATTCCTGAGAGGGCTGCAGGGAATGTTCTCTGGAGGCAATCAGATTTCAGTTAAAATGAAAGTAAAGACAGTATTTGGAGAAGTATGACACCAAGATGAGTGATTAGAAAAAAAGAGTCAGGGGATGGAGAATCGTAGCAGCATATTTAATTAAATCTTTAAACTTTTATTGTCTCTTACCACATGCAAAAAAGTTTGAAAATATACTTTATACTTTCTTACCCTTTAGAAGTTCACAATCAAGTTTAAGCAATATCAAAAGGAGGTTTCACAAAGCTAAAAAAATTAGAACCTTTGGATATTCCAAGTTCCAGTAACTGGCAGGCATGGTGTTGAATGAATGAAATTTGTAATATAAAGAGCTTTTATATTTGAATGGGGTTGGTTATGCTAATCTGTAAACAGGGATAATAATTAACTATTTAAATAACTTCTGTAACAGAAATGTTAGGAGGAATGAATAGTATATGTGAAGGGGTTGTATAAAATACTATTATATAACTGTAAGACATAAATCAAAGTACCAAGATGTGTGAAAAAAAATCTAACTCTTAGAAGAAGGTGTTAATCTCAAAAACAAGCAGAAAGTGTCTGCGTAGGTGAAACAGAGAAAGGAACTGAGAACTCTGGGACCTCTGGTGAAACTGGGCAATGCTGAGAGCTGGGCTACACTTTTCTTGTTTTCAGAGTTTTCATTTTCACTCGTGGTGGCGGGGGTTGTCATAGTGGCTTCTCAGCCATGCACTTGAATCGCTCCCTTTCAGGGCCCCAGTTACGCCCTAGTAGGACATTAGACACCTGAGCGTCTACCCCCTCTATGATCATGATCATTCTTGAATACTGAAGGAAGTAATACACAGAACTCCTGAAAATATTAGCTCCTCAACACAAAACAAAGTGTATTTAAACATTAAGTGAGTAGGTGTGTTTTTAGAAAGTTAAATGTTGGGGAATGGAGGAATATGTGGTATGCTTGTGGATTTTAGAGTTCTAAAGCCAGAAAGAGAAAGCTCAGAGAAGCTAGCTATACTTACATAGCCATACTTAAGTGAAAGTCGCTCAGTCGTGTCCAGCTCTTTGCGACCCCATGGACTATACAGTCCATGGAAGTCTCCAGGCCAGAATACTGGGGTGGATAGCCTTTCCCTTCTCCAGGGGATCTTCCCAACCCAGGGATCGAACCCAGTTCTCCCATGTTGCTGGTGGATTTTTTATCAGCTGAGCCACAAGGGAAGCCCTAGCTATACTTAAGTAAGTGTTGAAAAAATTACGGTGCAAATAGTAATTACTATGAAAGACAACTAGGATTTGCCACATCTGTATGAAGGTAGAGACATGATGAGAAGGGCATCTTCAGCCAGATTTTATCCTGACTCCTAAATATTATAAATAATAATATTTATTATAAAGAAGTCATGAAACAACATGGCCAGTTGAATAAATTAATGCTATTTTATCCTGGCTGTAGTGAAGCAGGGATGTAAGAGAACTTTGCATTAGAGCTGTTTATAGTCATTGGTCTTTTCACTTTTGCAGTCTGTACTCTATGAGGATGACACTAAGGAAGGCAGGAAAAGGAGAAGCTCCAGGGGAACTGTGAGACAGACAGTCTTCAAACAGGCTGCTGCTAACTCACATCAGTCGTGTCTGACTCTGTGCACCCCCATAGACAGCAGCCCACCAGGCTCCCATCCCTGGGATTCTCCATGCAAGAACCCTGGAGTGGGTTGCCATTTCCTTCTCCAGTGCATGAAACTGAAATGTGAAAGTGAAGTTGCTCAGTCATGTCTGACTCTTCATGACTCCATGGACTGCAGCCTACCAGGGTCCTCTGTCCATGGGATTTCCCAGGCAAGAGTACTGGGGTGGGTTGCCATTGCCTTCTGTCCAACAGGCTACCCTGGCATATTTTCCCATCATGGACATGAAAATAGTACTTTTTTTCCCAAAATATTCTAAGATCTCTAGTATAGTTCATATTTTTCTTTTTTTGCTTGGCTATCCATGGGTAAAGTTGGGGTCCTTTCCTTTGTTTACTATATAGGCCTCATCTATTGATGCTGGGCATTAGGGAGGACACTTATGGGCCTGATCAATATCCTTGGTCCCAAGTAGTAAGTGATCCTCAGACCCAAAGAAGGCTCGGGTCTTCTTACATGATATTGGGTAGGCACTGTATATCACAAGGCACCATGGAAAGCAAGATGACCTGATGAAGCACATGTCCTTCAGTCTCTACCTGCTCAAGGACAAACTGAGTTTTTTGCCAAGATCACTTCTATTTATGCAGATAACAATCCCACTGCTAATTATGGGATGTGGTAGTTATGGTAATGGGGGAAAGCTAAATTTGGAGGGGTTTAGAAAATGTTGCAATGTAGAGAGTTTTTAACTTATGCAAACATTTCTTCAAAGTTTACCTGTTTAACCTGGATTTTAGATTTAGTCATTAATCAATAGACATTTAATGAATGCCTGCTAAGTGCCAGGCACTGTTCTAGCTACTGGGATAATAGCAGAGACAAAAACTCCTGCTGTCATGGAGTTTATATTCTAGAGGAGGGAGCGTGACTGCAAACATAACAAAGTGTTACACAATGGCAGTTCCGTTACAGTAAGGAAGGGAGGTATAAAGTGTTGGATAGGGTTAGTAGTTTTGGATAGAGTGATTGCAACTTCACAGAATGCCTAAGGAAAGACCCTTCTTTTTGAGCAAGGGAAGGGAGCCACCTGGATATCTGGGCTCAGGGACATTCTAGGCAGAAAAACCAGAAAGGTGGGCACGTGTCTGGGGGTTTCTGAGCAACAGCACAGAGCCCAGTGTATCTAGAATGGTGTGTAAGGGAGATGATGTCAGAGAAAAGGCAGCAGGACCAGATCACAGAGCCTGTTAAGCAAGATGTTGGTTTTACTTGGCATGAGATGGGAAGCCACTAAAGGATTTAAAGGAAAGGAGCAAGGGTTGCTGGGCTCAGAACAGATTGAAAATGCTGAATTCTTTCAAGATGTCAGAACACATCCTGAGGTTAATCAAGTTTAACAAGCATCTGTGGCTCTATAAGCCGGGCTGGTCTCTGTCTTGGTATTTTAGGACCTCAGACAGACCATGACTTATAGGAAGGCTCAAGACTGATGACATTCTTTTCTTCTCACAGTGGAATGAGTAACTATTTGCTGAATGGATGAACAAAAAATGTGGATTGAAAATGGAAAAAAATAACAGAAACAATAGTCAAAAATTAGTTTAAGAAATTCTGAACATACCAAATAAATACTGTTAGTAGTGCGTATAGCTTAATTTGCATTGGAAAAATATAATGATTTAGCAGAATTTTTACCTGTGTGGTGACATTTCTTCCTTTCTGCTTTTTACTATGTTTTTCTGCTTCAATAGCTGAAATATACAAAACATTTTTATAAAATTTCACTAAGTACAGTTTCTTGTTAAAAAAACTTGTGGGATAATTTAGAATTCTAAGAATAATAGCCAAAAGTAATTAAAAACTTAAAAGTTATTAATGTGATACAAACTAATTTCTTCACTGATAATTTTTAAAGATGTAACTTGACACCAGAGATAATCTAAATGCTTTTCTCAAGTATCCTGAAACTGATATAACCTGAAAGAGTTCTACAAATAATAAAGCTAATTACAACAGTGAAAAACTTTCTGAGCTAGAATTTAATTAAAGTGTGTCTATGTAAATAAATGCTATCTATTAATAGAGAATATTAAAACATAGGAGAGGAAATACAATCTTTTAAATTTTTATAGACTCATCCATGTGGCAGAGAGACTAAAAATTAATACAGTTGGATGATATAAATATCTGAGAAATGTAGAGTAGTATAATTATATCAAGCTTTGAAATTTGAGAAAATTTTCACAAGAAAATTTTAATGACTCTTTTTATAAACAGAAGACTATATGTACCATATATTAGTAGACTATAATGTAGTCATTGGTATATTTCATTTTTGCATAGTACTTGAATTTTATTAACATACATATTTAGAAAAATAAGAATTTGAAAACCTGATAATAACAGGGTGATAATCATGACATGTGAACTACTTTATTAGTATTACTCAGCTTCAATTACTGAAAAATTATTTGATGAACAGCAAAAATGTCACCCCACATATTTCCTGAAGTAAAACATGCATGTATGTGATACATTCACCTTTTACAGACTGAAGAACTTGACTCAAGACAAATATAGGGACATCAAAATTTTACATTTCCAATATATGAGTTTGTCCTTTAAAGCAGGTTGTCAATGTTCTAATGTTCAGTTCAGTTCAGTTCAATCACTCAGTCACGTCTGACTCTTCGCGACCCCATGAATCGCAGCACGCCAGGCCTCCCTGTCCATCACCAACTCCCGGAGTTTACTCAAACCCATGTCCATTGAGTCAATGATGCCATCCAACCATCTCATCCTCTGTCGTCCCTTTCTCCTCTTGCCTTCAATCCCTCCCAGCATCAGGGTCTTTTCCAATGAGTCAGCTCTTCGCATGAGGTGGCCAAAGTATTGGAGTTTCAGCTTCAGCATCAGNTACTCCTTTTCCTATTTGGAACCAGTCTGTTGTTCCATGTCCACTTCTAACTGTTGCTTCCTGACCTGCATACAGGTTTCTCAAGAGGCAGGTCAGGTGGTCTGGTATTCCCATCTCTTTCAGAATTTTCCACAGTTTATTTTTGACTTTTTAAAAAATTAATTTGATATATTTTATCCTTTCTCTCACTGATGAACTTTAGCACTTAGTCTCATAATTCTGTTTACTTCCTAAGCCAGATCTTATAGAAACTGATCGGGTTGTTTGGTATTTAGTCCTCTGTCAAATTAGAGAAACAGTTGGCAAATTCTAAATAAAAACCCAATAAGTACATGGTGCCAAATGTGTTAATATAAAGCATATGAAAACTTTTAAAGATTATGTATATTTCAAACAATTATACACATTAGGATTGCTCTGTAGATTCAGAATGTAAAATAAATGACCCCAAAATGAAAATGTTTACTACAAATAAAACTTTCTTTATTCCAAGTTTGCCAAGTAATCCTTTCGGGTCATGAATACTCATTATCAGAGGCAACATACAGCATCATGACCCACCATTCGGACTTTGAGTCAAACAGGTCTGCATTCAAGTCATAATTTTATATTTATTTCATTAATGTGTTGTGCTAATAAAATGAGATAATCTAGGTAAAATATTTGGCATAGTACTTAATACACGTTCAGTATGTTTAAATGTTAGCTATAGATAATGGCAACCCACTCCAGTATTCTTGCTTGGAGAATTCCATGTACAGAGGAGTCTGGCAGGCTACAGTCCATGGGATAGCAAAGAGATGGATATGGATATGACTGAGTGACTAATACACTAATATATAAAATATATTAAAAAAATAATAATAATTATTATATGAAGCTTACTTCTTTAAAGGACTCAAGATGCCTTCAAGATAATAGTACTTGTAAATTTGTATTTTAAAAGGACTATGATAAATAATTATTAGATTTAATACACTATTAGAATTTATTAATTGTTTGCTATTTGCCTTTTTCTCAATTAAGCACTTTCTTCGAAACAAATTAGTCTAATTATATTTGTGTTTTAGAAATCAGACAGTGATTGATACTACAGTCACAGTCAATGTCTACTAGCTTAAAAACTCCATTAACAATAAGTAGAAAAAGCAATGTGATTTGATATATTCCCATTATTATATTCAAAGTACAGACAGTAAAATTAAAGTTAGTATGTACAGAATGTACAGACACAGAATAAGAAGTACAAAGTGTCATGTGTATTAGAGTAAGAAAAGAAAATTATGGATATTAAATGGAATAAAGTATGTATTATACATTGGACCAGAAAATCAAACTGTCAGTTGGTCAAAAACTAACATGAAAATTACAGGGCTAAAAGCAGTTATCAAAGGTAAAATAAATGTAGTTAAAAGAATGAGTGAAATGGGAGGAGATATAATAGTCTAACTCAAGGAACAAACTAATAGCTTAAAACACAAAAAGAAGATAAATGTAGTTGGTCATTATTTACAAGAGAAGATGCACAATAAAAAAAAACTCCTTTGAAATTCATTTCAAAATATGTGTTTCTTTTCTAAATATTAGGCTTCTAGGTCTTCACGTAGATAAAACAAAGTTTTGATGGGCTACCAGGGAAACCATTGTGCTGCAAAAAGTCCCTTGCACAATGTTTTCTAGTAGATGCTTATATTAACTGAGAGACATCTGTGACTGTTGGAGGCCTCTAGCACTCTCATTCTACACTTCTCTCTGTATGAATATTGATACTGCCCCAGAGTCTGGCGCTCCCCGAGAAAACACAGTCTACTGGGTGCAGGAAGAAAATACTAGGCTCTCTACTTATGTGGAATTTAAAAATATCTTTTATAATTCCTACTTCTGGGTGTGTTTTATAATAGACTAGATCAGTAGTAGGGGACTTCCCTGGTAGCTCAGAGGGTAAAGAATCTGCCTGCAGTGTGGGAGACCTGGGTTGGGAAGATCCTCTGGAGGAGGGTATGACAACCCACTTCAGTATTCCTGCCTAGAGAATCCCCATTGACAGAGGAGCCTGGTGGGCTACAGTCCATGGGGTTGCAAAGAGTCAGACATGACTGAGCAGCTAAGTACAACAGCAAGATCAGTAGTATATCACTCTTATAAATAATATGTATAATGGCAGAATATGCCATCAAAACATTTTGATATGCAGTTAGCTTTGGAAGGGGACTAATGTTTTATTCAGCTCTAGAATTGTAGCTCTAGGTATAGTTTATTTATCTATTTACTTAAAAACTTTTTATTGGGGTATAGTTGATTTACAATGTTGTCTGAGTTTCAGGTGTCCAGCAACATGAATCAGTTCTGCATATACATGTACCCACTCCTTTTTAGATTCTTTTCCCATATAGGCCATTACAGAGTGTAGAGTAGACTTCCTTGTGCTGTACAGTAGGTCCTAATTAGTTATCTATTTTATATATAGCAGTGTGTACGCGTCAGTCCCAATCTTCCAATTTAACCCTCCCCCCTTTCACTCCCTGGTAGCCGTAAGTTTATTTCTATATCTGTAATCTAACTATAATTTATTATATGTCAGTTGGTTTGCATAATTTAGCTCCACTCTCCTTAGCAACCCAGCAAGATAGTAAGCACAGAATATCTGTATTTCTATTTTACTGGTGAGGAAACTGACACCAAATGAGCATGAGTAACTTGTTCAAGGTCACATGGCAGAGTGGAATCAAATGTAGGTATGACTCCAGAACCATCCCTCTTTTTACCTACCGAGTCTCCAAACTTTACCAAAGGATTTATGGTAGATCAAATTGCAAATTCTACAATGAGATAAACACCACTGTCTTTATAAAAAATCAATTTATGCACAATATTTTATATGGCATATCTATTTGTATAATGTGAAACATACACTTTTATGTACATAAGAGCTTTAATTTACTATCCCCTATTGGGTTGGGAAGATCCCCTGGAGAAGGGAATGGTTCCCCAGTCCAGTATTCTTGCCTGGAGAATTCCATGGACAGAGGAGCCTGGTGGGCTACAGTCCATGCGGTTGCAAGACTCAGACACTACTGAGTGACTAACACTTGCTTCTTTCATTGAGAAAGAAGGGTTTTGAAAAAGTAAGGAAGAAACTAGCACTACAGCTCACTGCCTCCAAAAGAATTATTCATGTGCCTTTTAGGGGTATGGAGTGAACCTGAACAACTTTATAGAATATCCACAAAGTTTTAAAAGAGTCGTGTTGAAAAAAACATCACAGCTTGGAGTGAAAGAGACTGAAATAGAAGAGGCTTCTGGGCCTCTATCTTTCAATGAGTAGGAAACAGGATGAGAAAGATTCTCTCTTACAAGCATGGGTCATTTCTTACTGAGGAAGAAGAACAATCAAGAGGGCAAAGCCGAGAGAGTGTTGCCCAGAGCCCAGAAGAACAGAAGATTAGGCATATATTTCAAGAGAGTAGAATTGGGCCCTAATCAAGGAACTCTGCCTCCTCCTGGAGTAGAGAAACTTGGCGACATGCACCTGGCTGGATTTCCAAATTGTCATGGACCAGTAACAATTGTACACTTCTCCCTTCTCCTTTTTGAACATAAGTGTCTACAGTAGTGTGGTTTTTCTATCTCTCCAGTATACATTGGTACCTGAGGAAATGAGCAGATAACTTGCCTTTTTAGTTCACAAGTGTCTGAATCTAAGAACCGTAACCAAGGAGCCTCACTGACATCTTAACCTGATGCAGATTATGAGATTGTGGATTCTGAGCCTTATGCCATGACTGGATGAGACACAGGCAGTTTTGGAAGGGGAAGGGAGAGGATCATGTGAGA